CCAATGCACACAGCGGGCTGCTTTGGGGCACTCAGTATTTCAACGTAAAAATTCCGGTTTCAACATGGGTATGTTTTACAAGCTTAATTCTTATCCTCTATGCCATCAACACCCCCTGCCTCATCCCCATCCCATGTCCATCCTTCCCATCTTTCTTCATGTAAGAAGAAACAGTTCTTGTATGCATGAATAAATAAATCTTTTTAAAAAACCAGTTACGAGCTATTAAGACTTGAAACAAAATGTCCACCTGGAGGTGACAGGACCAATGACAACTGAATGAAAAACTGTCACATTGCTTAACAGAACTTCAGGGATACTAAACATAGAATGGTTTTTGCTTTATATCAAATATTCAACAGTGAGGTAGGAAGACAAATTAAAGCAAAGATATCAGACTTCATATCCACAGATGGCCGGGAGCATGACAATACACTGAAGCCTCCACTCTTTCCTTTAAGATCCTATGGCACCATGGGCCTCCCCTGGTGGTGCAGCAGTTGAGCTCTGGGCTGCGAAGCTGCCTGCAGCCTCTGCAGCGCAGGTTCAATCCCCGGCCGCCGGCGAGGGTCCCACATGGCATGACAGACCTCTCCTGCCGCGTCCGCTGCTCCCCTCAGCAGTGTATTTCATCACTCAGCCTGTTCTGTTCCCCGCTCTGGTGAATTCTCTCACCCTCCAGAGCTTCTGACTGTACCCAGTATTTGTATAAATAAATAAATAAATAAATCTTTAAAAAAAAAAAAAAAAGATCCTATGGCACCTACTTCCTGTCTTCCCCACAGGGAGAATCCAAGTCACACTGGTTTGAGCCCTGGGTAAGTCTATAAGCTGAAAAATACAGAAAGCTAGAAAGAAAGCAATGAATCTAGAAGTTCCAGGGAGGCTCGGAGTAGAAGTCTAAGTGTCCAGATCCCAGTGTTCCCATTACCCATGGATTGAGGTAAATGTTCAATTGCTCACTGTGCATCAGACACTGTTTTCGAATACCACTAAGATATAGCTGTGACCAAAACTGACAAAATTCTTGGATCTCAGATCTCAGGACGCTTACATGCTAGGGGAGAGAGACAGAAAGGTGTCTAGTTATTAGAAGCTAACAAGTGAGGGTATAGGATGGGGCTGAAATTTTAGAAACAGCAATCAGGAAGGCAACAATTGAGAAGAATGAAGAAAGTAAATTAGCTAATTCTATAATCCAGGCAGAGGAAACAGCAAACACAAAGGTTTTGAGTCTTACTAATATAAAAGAAAGGGGACAGAGTTGGTTAGAATGAAAGACAACAGATGAGGTCAGAGAGAAATAATGTGTATGGGGGAAGCTGGTGAGGACAGAGCAGAGGGCCGGTGGGGTTTTGGGGGGACTCTAGCTCTAATTCTGAACTACTTGGAAGGGTTCTAAGCAGCCTCCTATGTTGAGAACTGACTGTGAGAGGAGGTAAGGTCAAAGAAGGATCATTGATGGGCCCGGAGGTACGAACTGGCCTTATTCTGGACAGATACTTGAAGGTCGTAAGATTTTCTGACAGAGGGGAATGAGGTAAAGAGAATCAAGGATGACCAAGGCTTCTGAAACAGCAAAAGGAACAGTGATGGCCATCAACTGCCACAGAGGGGCAGATGTCAAGGAGTGGCCAGTTCAGTTTTAGCCTCACTAAGTTTGACTTATTAGACAGTCAAGGGAAGATGGTATTTGGTAGCTGGGCATGTGGGTCTAGGATTCAGGAGCAGATTAAATTAACCCTTTGCACTCCACTGTCCCCTCTCAGGGGACATTGGTAGCCAATGTCCAGAATGGTTCGGAGTGCAAAGGGTTAAGGTACTGCACAGATTTAGTTAAGGGTTCTTATCTGACCCTGTGCCTTCTCAAGGGATCAATTTGGATCACAAATTTAAAGGTTCTTTTAAGGTCAACTGGTTGGATACAACAGCAAAAAGAAAATGGTTTACCAGGAGGTGCCACCCTATTCTCTAGGGACATTATCATCTCCCCAGTGGAAAAGGCAGCCTATGATTAGCACTGACATGGCCTCCCAGAAAATACCTGGCAGCAGATTGTAGACATTCCAGATACAACTGGACGTTTAAATCCACACCTCTACCTCTACCATGCCAGGTTCCCACCCCCAAATCCAGGTTTTGGCACTGTGCCCAATGTTCTCTTACACATAAGATAACATGACTTATGTGAAACTACATCCAACAGTCATGTAAGTCACTCAAGACTGATGATTTAGCTTATGTTTGCCTTCTCTACACCAAATCTTCCTCATTCCTATTTTATCAGCTACAAAGTTGGCCTAGGGTTGAGTGGTTTTTTTTTTTTCCTTCCTCACTTTTCTAACTTCAATTGAAGACTCCCAACTTATACCGAATATGAATGTTATACTTATTTACCTCTTAGTTTGGAGACTCAGGAGATAGTTTTTTTGTTTGTTTTTTGTTTTTCTAATGTGTGTGTTGCTGAAGCAAGCACTGGAGATAATTTTTTTTAATGCCTAATATGGACAAGCCACAATTAACAAATCCAATGAAACCTGGAGAAAATGCAGACGCAAAAGGGGAAGTAAAGATGAATTACAATGTGACCAAGTAAAAAAGATTTTAACATAATTCAGTGGGGTTTACAAACCAGGATGTGACTTCCCAATAAAGACAGGCCTATGATCTTTTGTACCATTCAGAACCACTCCATGTAGTGAACAGTCAAAACTATGTGCTGACAGGAAAAATAATCCATATTTACCAAGATAATCAATTCTTAGCCCTAAAAACCTATGAACTCTGGAGTGGGAAGGGAAGAGGGATTGAATACCAAGTAATCCTTTAGTGATACAACACTGGTCTGCTGGTAGATCCACCTTCAAAATGAATTCATAGCACTACACTCTGAGGAGCTTACGTAATACACTATCTTTAAAGAAGGCCATGTGGACAGAAACCCAAGGCAGCACAAGACAGAGTAGTCATAAAGATAAGAAATACCAACATAAAGACAGTTACAGAACATATGTTTCAGGAAAAGAAAATATTTCAAAGCAGGAATTCTCATCCTGATACACTAGCTTCAAGAAATAACATCTGTGCTTCCTTAAGGATTCTGACCCTGAAAGAGCTTAAGAATCATCACAACAGCCTTCATTTCCACCTTGAAGTAAAAGTATGCATAGCACACCACTATTGCCTGCAAAATGATTCTGAGACTGTTCCAAAGTCATGCTGGTAAACAAAACCTTGCCGAGACACAAAAGGTCACAAAACCCAAGGTTCCATTTCTACGGAATATGCACAAGAGGTAAATCCATAGAAATAGAAAAGAGAAACCAGGGCCCAGGGAATGGACAGGTGCTTAATGGGACAGGACTTCCTTTTGGAGTGAGGCACTGACTCTGAACTGGACAACAGTGAGAGCTGCTGACACTGTGCATGCACCAATGCCACTAAAATGCTCCCTTTCAAAATAGTGAATGCTATGTGATGTGAACTTGAGCTCAATTTTAAAAAATCGAGCTTCAAAAAAAAAAAACAAAAAAGGCAATCACACGCATGTGGTCTCCTAGTTTGGGGAGAAAAAAATGACATCGTATGGGATGAAATGGGACAGGTCAGAGCAGAAGGCTGTGTTTTCACCCCTAGTCCTCAGCACAGGAGACAGCTCAAGTGAGCTATTAAGTACTTGCTGTACTGGCCTTCAGAAGGGCTCATCTGCTGGGATATTCATTTTACAGAACAAAAGGAAAATGAAAACCTCAGATTTCTTGACACCTGTTAGGACTTGCAGGTTCATACAGCCATGTCTTCCATACACCTGTGGCAATATCATAGTGAGGGGCTAATCCAGTGCAGGGCAAATGTATAGACACAGAAATACAGCTAAGCCCTTTTTAAAGACTTCACTATTATTGTACACACAATATTTAATATATTGATTGATCACTCAAAATTTCCTTCACAAAACTGAATTTAAAAGTAAGCAACCCGGGCCTCCCCAGTGTTGTCGCGGTTGAGTGCTGGGCTGCGAAGCTACCTGCAGCCTCTGCAGCGCCAGTTCGATCCCCAGCCACCGGCGAGGGTCCCACACGGTGCGCAGACCTCTCCTGCTGCGCCCGCTGCTCCTCTCCGCAGTGGACTTCATCGGTCTGCCTATTCTGCTCCCCGCTCTGGCTCTGGTGAATTCTCTCACCCTCCCATGCTTCTGACTGTACCCAGTGCTTGTATAAAAAAATAAATAAAAATAAAAGCAACCCATCCAAATAACTGAAGTCATAAAATGCAAATATATAATCTACTCAAAAGTCAAGTAACTACTTTTGTGAATTACACTGCAAAATATTAACTCCCAAGGTCAGTAACTAGAGAAGAACCCTGCTCTCATAATATGTCTCTGTCCTTTTAATAGTGCTGAGAGGCGAACTGAAACCAATATCCAGAATTTCCTTAAGAAATCACATAAACCGCAAAACACTCAAATCATGATTTGAACTATGGAATCAACTGGCCATGTGAATTCAGTTTCATAAAGTTTGCAAATATTTACTACATGGCATTCATGTTAAATTCACACCAGTATTTTCAAGGTCAGTATTATGTTTGTTCAACTTCTTGGAGTCACACATTTTTGTGGTATTTTTAACATCTGACTAAAGCGTCTATCATCACAAGATGCTAGCACTGTTTGTAAACACTTTGAAGCAGCAGCTGGTGTTGCTCACACATCTTGTTACGATAAATAGAGTAGCAATTTTAAACTCCAGGTGTATATTTTACTACTAGTGTGTAAAAAAAACCGTGTTTTATCTTAAGTTTTTCCCCTAACGATAGAGGGGTATGCACACAATGGACTTAGGACAAAGTTAAGACCACATCACAAATACAGCGATTCTTATGCATGCGTCCTGGAAGCAGACTACCGTGCGGAATGAAGAAATGTTAAATGATACTGACCCTGCTTCTCTCTTCCATGTCATTTTTAGTACAAAAAAAAAAATGCAGAAACTTACCCACACAAGCATTGAGGAATAGCCAGTCGGTCTTTTTCATCCTGTTTTTAATTTGCTTTAATTTTTTGAAATCCACTTCAAGTTCCTCCTTACTGCCGACAGCACCAGCCAACTCAATCCTCTGAAAATCCATTTTCATGTCAGAGTCCCGCTTCGTAGTAGGCGGCGATCGTCTTTGGCTATTACCACTACTGCAGCTTCCCCTCCATCGAGCTCTGTCCTGCTCATTTATTATTGAAGAAGCCTCTTCAGTCTCTGCCAGCTCTATTGCTTCAATATTATTAGGTCTGGGATGATCGCAAACAACACATTTTTTAGCCTTGGCCCAGTTCTCATATGTGCAAATAGAACAAGTCCAATGCTGGGTCCTTGTGTTCAGTTTATTTCTATCATTGTACTCCTCGCAAGGATCCACAGAAAAAGCAACTGGTCTCGAGCCAGATCCTGAGGACTGAGGAGATTCTGTGGGACTCCGGGTCCTACGCTGGGATAAGCACTGGGTACATCTGATTGCTCTTGGCCAGTTCAAATATGTACACATGTGGCATGACCATTTATTTGCATTTTCCATGCTGTACGAAGACTTAACCCTCGGTCTTGCACTGGAGTCTGGGCATATCAAAGGACTACTTCCTCCTTCAGTGCTGGAAGGATCCCAGTCTCGACCAACATCACTTGAGCCGCTTTTAAATGGATCTTCTGTAATAATTGTTCCGCTGGGTCTCTGAGCACGACACATGGTGCACTTGATTGCAGATGGCCAGTTTTCATACGTACAATATTCGCAAGCCCACTTAATCCCACGTTCTGACATTGTGCACTTCTTGAAATGAGTTATGTCAAGCAGGAAGCTATAAATAATTAGGACAAGGTTATTAAAACACCTTTGAAAATATGCCCCCCAAAATAAATGTACCCTTCCACTTATACAAATTTAGCAAAAGATGCATAAAGATTTCACATCAAACTATCCTTATTTTCCTTTCCCATTTATGATTTCCACATAGATACTGGAGATAAGCGCCCAAAGAAAAATTTTAGTCCTTGGGATTTAATGAAACTGCACTTTGGAATGCAAAAGAGATAGGCAGACAGTAAAGGGAGATTCGCAGCTGTACAGGTTAAAATAGGGAACCCACTAACAGAAATATTTCATTTCAGTCAAGTGACAGCCATCAATTTAGAAAAGTAACTAATAGCTAAAAACTCAAAGGAAAAAAACCAGAAACCAAGTATCTTAAACACAAATATCTTCAAATTATGAACACTATTATGCCACCTAGTTACATTATTATGGTTGATTTACAGTCAAGAATTCAGAGGATCAAAGTCAATTCTGTTACTCTTGCTAAGGGAGAAAAGCTGCTTGACGTGCTAATTAATCGCCACCCAGGTAAGCACAGGTAGGAAAGAAAGACAGTGAAGAGTAATCCTACAGTTAACAAGGTAACACTGTGAAAGAGAGACCAAGATCCTTGATATTCCATATTCTCAAAATCCAGTTCTGTCTAAAGTACAAAAAATAGAAACTTCACATCACCTCCACTGGGACAAGCAAATGGACAGGACATCCCTGAAATGCCTGCAATGACTGCTGGCATAATCACTCCAAAGTCATTCTGAGTAGTCTTGTTCAAAATATATAGTTACTGTTTTAACTACATACTCAAGATTTAATTCATACTAAAAATATGACACTCACTAAAAGGTTCCTAGGAACACTACACTATAATGAAGACTTTAATGATGACTAATTTATAAAAGAAGCAACTTAACATAGCAAATTTAATGATTTATTAAATGGCTTAAATTTAGACATATTCTACTAAGACCAACATTTCCACTGTCTTAAATTCCTTCTCAACCCAATAAATATCATCACCTTGCCACCTATTTTTCACCAGAAAGGTGAAAGACAACCTAAGCAGAGTAACAGAAACTTTTCCCTCTTTCTCGAGGATTTTTCCAAAACCTGGAAAGCTAAACATTTCATTTTTAAGTATGCTAGCTCCCTGCCTACCAAGTCGTCATCCCATTTATAGTGCAAACTCTGCTGAGAGAACAAATTCACTACAAGAAAGGCTATATTTAATATTGAAAATAAAGGGGCCTCCCCTGGTGGTACAGGCAGTTGAGTGCCACGCTGTAAGGCTGTGCGCAGCCTCTGCTGTTGTGCCCGCTGCTCCCCTCAACAGTGTATTTCGTCAGTCTGCCTGTTCTGTTCCCCGCTCTGTCTCTGGTGAATCCTCCCACCCTCCCGCGCATCTGGCCTGTACCCTGGTTCTTGTATGCATGAATAAAAAAATGAGGAGAGGGAAGGGAGGGGAGGGGAGGAGAGAGAAGAGATCACACTAAGATTTTAATTTCCACACTATAGCCTCTTCCATGCACACAGAATGAAAGTGTGGTTTATAAATCAGACCAAATATAAGAGTCCAGTCTTCACACTGGCTCAGACAGACTGCTCAGGAGAGACTGCAAAACATGCTAAGTGATTCGGTGCAATTGTAAATAGTTAGGCCTGTAAAGGAGAACAAAACTAAGTTTCACTTGATGGCTGCCATCTAAAAACAGTTATTTTGTAAAGACTTTATTTCAATTATCTTATTCATCTCTTTTAATAATGAAGAACTATACTTTGAATTTTAATTTAACACAGCAATAAAATTAGCTGATTGGGCAGGTCACCCAAAACAGAGGTGAAAAAGACGTTTTTTGTATTATGTTTTTTGTATTTTTGTATTAATATGTGAACATGTGCACTAAGGCAACCGTCAGTATTAACTTGGTAGTGCTAAGTCAATTCCCACTGGCGTGACTTGTTACTGTGGAAGGAGAAAGGCAGTGTAACCCAAAAGTAAGTAGAAGCAGCAAAGAACTGTTGCTTATTATATTTAGCTTTGAATTATTTTTCTCCTTTGCCAAACTGGTTTTTGTTTCTAACCCAGGTAATTTATATTTATCTTCCTTAGACTTTTAAATTTATCTTGTCCACAATGATTGCATACCATCTGACAGTAGTCCAAATCAGTTGAAGAGCAGGGAATTATAACCAGCAAATAAGCAACACAAAATAAACAATCACAATTTAATGGCAATTTTCATATTCATTGGGCGGTTTCTTCCTTTAGCTCAGGAGTGAAATATAAATTCCTTGCTTGTGCTTCTGGAAATTAAATGAGCTAATCTTCACTGAATTAATGTACCAGGATAACACGTTTAAATGTTCCTATCTGACCAAAAACAAACAAAAACAGCACCATAAATAGTCATCAATGTCACATATGGCTAGAAAATAATGGACAAACAGCTACCTGATTACAGCGGACCCTGTCCGAAAATCCAAGTATCTACGCAATACTAAAACCATGTTAGGGTAGTAAGGTAAGTATATTAAACTAGATGATGAAATACAGTATCTGCTTCTTTGGGGCAATTTAGACTTTGTAGAAACACTTTTTCAGAAACAGAAAGCTAAAATGTACTGGAGAGAATTATCCTGAGAGCCATTTATACCTGTATTAATCAGTGAATGGAAGCAACTTGCTCTAAGAGTCAATACAGCACAATGACGTAAAACTGTTACCACATATCTATTAACATATTCACATACCCAAGTAAATTTGATTTATAAGTCTAATTTTGCATGTAGCACAGATTCACAAATTCTAATAAATCACACTTCAATTAATTGGAACAATAAAGCAACAATAAAATCTGCATAAGCTGGGCCTTCTTTAAGGGGAACTAGACATGACTGCTACTCTTAAAACATTCTTTTGTTCAAATGCTATACCAGGGGCCTCCCTGGTGGCTCAGGGGTTAAAGACAAGTGCTATCAAGCTATCGCCAGCCACTGCAGCACAAGTTCAATGCCCCTGCGGGCCATGGCGCAGCAGACCTCTCCTGTCTCGCCCGCTGCTCCCCTCAGCACTGTATCTCAGTAGGACCACCTGTTCTGCTCCCCACTCTATCTCCGGTGAATCCTCTCACCCTCTCCCACACCTCTGGCCTACACCCCAGTTCTTGCATGCATAAATAAATACATCTTTTTTAAAAACGTGCTATACTAGCAGTTCCCAACCTGTGGACCATCAAGCTCAACCTGCAGACAGAATGAATTAACACCTTCCAAGTAGATCAACCACTTCCTAGTACTAAATTCTTAACTGCTTTTGATCAAACATGTCCCAGTTCAAATAAAAGGAGAGGGCACAAGCATTGGAGAAGGGAGGTAGTAACTGAACAGTTTTGTGTTGTCATGCTCAACAATGAAATGGACAGTATTTGTGAAGCATTACTGAACACTGTAGAAGTCAATTCCTCAAAACTTGTCAAGTTCCCCCAACCACCTATTAGAGAACCAGAAAAGAAATAATACTCAAGTGCAAACTCCTTAAAAATAAAAATGAAAAAGAAGCTTAGTTATCAGTTTGCATCAAGTAACTCATCCAAAAGGAGGATTAGTCACAGTCTTTAAGATTTCATATTAGCTTTATTTGTATAAACTTATATTATTCATTAGTTCAACAACAGAAACATAATTGTTGATACATTAATATGACTCTGTGGAGACTTGATGTAAATATGCCCAGAAAGCATCTTAGGGAAATACAGTAGACCTAAAACTAAAAGAATATTCCAAGCATGCTGAATACTCAGATTCTGTTGAAATATCACAAGGTAATCCTGAATTGTAATTATGTAAATAAAAAGTACTACTAAATTCTTAAGTCAAAATTTGCAATCAATTCTACTTTTCTCCTCAGCATCTTTCTGTATCATTGTCTTCCTCACAACAACCAACAAAAAACTACTCATTTTAAGTAAAATCCTGAACACTGATGACATGGTGAACCCCTTGCCTACAATTCTGACCTAGTATTTCATCTCAGGCCTCTAACAGCTTATTACACACTGTATTAAACCTCTCATCTTCCTCTCACAAAGAACTCCTATCGTGACTTGTCTCTTTTCCACTGGGGACACCATCAACACCCCAGCACAGAAACTCAGAATCACCTTGAATTCTGCTGAGTTCTCCCCATAGATTCTCTCTAGTGGTTTCTGCCCATCAGTTCTTTTCTTCCCATTGCAACCTCCACCAACCTTTCCTCAGTTCAGGTCAGTGCTACCGGAATAGCCTCCAAAGCGCCTACCTCTCTAAATCCATCTAGCTCACTATTGCCAGAATAATCCCCCCAATCACAAGACCCTCTTTTCGAAGCTCTCCTCCAACAGTATAAACTCTCAACTTGCCCTCTCCCTCCCTCTCTCCCAGTCTCTGTCTCTCACAAACACTTAATCCCAAACACACCACATGTACCCCCAATGCACATACCACCACCCCTCAATGATACACACACGAAGCACAACCTTAGAAAACAAGCACCAACAGACACACAATTTCTGAAGTCCTACCATCCTTCAAGACTCAGTTTAAGTTTCATCTCCCTCATGAAGCTTTCAAACCACTTCAAGTTCACGACAAGCAACCACACTTCTATTGACATTTAGCATTTAGTGTATTTACTGTTGGTGCTACATCCTAGAACGCTAATTTATGTGTGTATTTCCTTGTTATTCCCTCCCTTCAGTATTCAATCAGGTTGCCAAGCTGTCAAAAACTTCAGAGGCTCTAGCATCTAGAACTTAGATGGGCCCTGTGTTTAATCACAGGAAAGTAACCTGAGAAAATAAGTTTGAGTAACCTGAGAAAAGAGAGTAGAGCTTTTAAGCAATCTAGGCAAAAGAGAGACATTGTAGAGGATGGATCCACTCCCATGGCAAGACCTCAGCAGAAGCTTCAAGGTGCCAAGCACAGGGCCCCAGGAGTTGGTGAACTAATTAT